TTTTGTGACATATTAAAACTAGGATGGCTATGATACTTTCTAGTGAAGTTGTTAGTAAATAAGTTTGATAGACTGGAAAATTCAAAGGGGAGGACCAGCCTGAAGGAGAAATTTGGACACTTAAAGTGTCACTTAGAAAACTGAAATTTTAATTTTAAATAAAGTTTGACTAATTATTTTCTTTCATGAATTATTCTTTTTGTATTGAATCAAAACTTCATCTCAATACTCAGGGTCATCTAGATTGTTTTATCTACTTTTATATGTAAATCAGTGATACATTTTTGGTTAATTTTTTGTCTTCGATTTCTAATTTATTTATTTATTGTATTTGCTTATTATTATTATTATTTTTTGCACATAGACATCCAGTTGAATGTCACATTTTGACACAGTAAAATTTCATGGAACACTCAATGGCCATAAATATTCATTCATTTAAAAATATTTATTAAGAACTAATTATGTGCACTGTCCCTTTTAGTTACTGGCAAGGAGCACAACTTACCAAATTTCCTGAGTTGATTCTTTCACAAAAGTGAAGTTAAATCTCCCAGCCTACATTAACTGTGCAGCCTGATGCTTTAGTCATGTATAAGAATGATTTAGTCTGAGGCTACCAATGCAGCATATTGCTATCCATGCAGCTTATTGCATATTTTCTTTTCTTATATGCAAAGCATGATTCCACTTTATAGTATTCTTTCAAGTGAGACATGTTCCAGTCAACAGAGTGTAAATAGAAGTGATTGGGCCACTTCTAGACCTGGTCCACAAAGTCTCTTAAGTGACCTTCACAATCTCTTTTTCTCCCATTTACCAAATGCATACAAAAAAACATAAGGACTTCATGGAGGCTTGGGTCAAGAGATGAAAGGCTACTGGTCCTGCATCACTGTGATTCAGATCACCACACATGTTCTGTGTAGTCAACTGAACTTAAGCATTAAACTAAATTTTCTTTTAAGGAGTTGAAATGGCAACATTTAATTTATGTGGTCTAAAATATGCATCCTACTCAATTGCTGCCTCTTGAACTCTAAGCAAATTTTTCTTGCCAAAAAGCTCAAGCTAACTTACATGGTTACAGGAGCTAGTAAGAAATGCTAATGAGTGAAGTATGCTAGATGTATTGAAGAGATCTTAAGCCTAAGCAAAATGAAGTAGTACTCATTTAATTCTAGGTTTAATATTTTCTTTCACTGTTGTTGTTTTCTTCTTGGTAATATTTGTCAGATATTCATGATCTTTTCTCTTGGTTTTATGCAGGACATTATTCTTGGAAGTGGTTGGCCTATAGATGACAATCAATACATTTGTTTTTCTTTGTAATAAAAGTATGATTGATGATGTGGATGAAATATAGGATGGAGTAAAAAATACCTTTATATTTATCAGCTTACACCCCTTATCCTCCAACTAGGACATAAAGACTGTAACTTACTTATTTTTATATCCTTATAACATTTAAAATCTTGCTGTTTACATAAAATACTATCAATGAAAGATTGTTGAATAAATGCTCAATAAATATTTGTTGAATTGACTTTTAGACTCATTCTCTTTTCACAAATATGAAATGAATTCATGTTATATAGTCTTTTAAAATTACTTTTGTCTATAAATTCATATTTTATCTTCAGAGCCAGAGCTCCATGATCAATGTGAAGGATTGTTTTTCATACTCCTACAAGGTCTATATTTCTTCTGAATAGAAAGTACACACATTAGAGAGACTGAGAGATACCAAGAGGATAGACAATCAAGTAATTTAGTTTCTCTTTATTTTCATTATAGAGGTGAAAGGCCCTCAGAGTTCATGAGACACTAAAATTAATGATGCATCCTAATTAAGTAAATGTTCAGTTTCTCTTCTTGAGTGCTATACTGTATAAAAAGTAGGGAGAAAAATATCAAATTTCTTCATATCAATCTCTTCATGGAAATAAAAAATTGTCCCACTCCCTGTCATTCTTCTGTGGTTTCATTTTAAATCTCAAACTTCTTTTAATATCATTCTAATTGTCAACAGCTTTTGTATGTAATAATTTTGTCCTTAGCATTTTTTTTCTTCATATTACGGTTAGTACTTTTCACAAAGTCTTCAAATTTAGGAACATTGCCCACTTTCTCACACCTACATTAATATGTTACACCTATCACTATATCAGTATGTGTTGGTGCTAATATGTGTAAGACTATATGCTAAGTAATACAGTCTAAGCAAATGAAATTATGCTGTATTATATACCCTTAGTTTATTTGCTTGTTTCTGGAAATTAGTGCTATGTTTAATCCTCCCTACTCTTGTTTCTATCCATCTCTTGAGTAACCAATTTAGAAGAATTAACTCAGTTCTTAGGTCATGAAACCAATGTGTTTGTCCTCACAACTCTGTTTCTTATCCTCTGTCTCTGTCTTGGAAGCTTATTTATGATTACAGTAGTTACACACAAATAATCTATGGTAGTCATATCATCCCCAGGTGCTTAATATTATAACCTTTACAAAATCCTTTTTTGCTACAAAAGGTAAAACAGTCACAAATTTAGGTAATTAGGCATGGGCACTATGGGAGTCATTATTTTTCCTACTACATCCATACTGGTTAATCACAGAAATTCATATATAAGAAAGGATTTTGGGAAAGTTGTTTGCTATTAATTCCTTGAATATTTTCAATTTTTTATGTTTCTTCAAATATTGTGTGAGTATGTACATGCCAATTTATACTCATAAATCCATATCTCGATATGCAATTTTTATTTCCCAATGTGATGGTATTTTGAGGTGTGGGCTTATGCAGATAATTAGCTATAAAGTAGATCTTGAGGGAGAGACCCCCTGGATTGCATCAGGGCCCTTAAGAGAGATCTCTCACTCTTTCTGCCCCCCCCCCCACTCCTTCTTCTCTTCCTCTTCACTTTCACATACATAGGACAGGCTATGTGAGAACATAATGAAAATGAGAAGTCTACAACCATAAAACAGAAAGCAGGCCCTCAACATGAAACAAATCTGCTGGCCCTTGATCTTGGAATTCTTATCCTCTAGAACTAAAAAACAAATGTCTTTCGTTTAAGCCACCTCATCTATGGTATTTTATTGTAGGAACCTAAACAAGCAGACTAAGAAAAAAATCATAACTCTTCTTCAGTTTCCTTATAACACGTCTCTCATTTTCAAGTAAACATTGTGAGAGGATCAAATTAATATCAGTAAAGTATTTATAAAATATAGAATCTTAAGCAAAGGGCCATTGTTTTTAACTTGATTTGGTTTATGTGATCAAACATATGCAAAATTCTCTGAAAATATCTTGAATAATGCTATTATTTAATAACACTATTTTTAAATAATTGGATAAATTTACATATAACAAGCTTTGTTGAGAATGTTAAAGAGAGGCCAGGTACAAGGTGCATGCCTGTAATCCCAGTGACTCAGGAGGCAAAGACAGGAGGATCACAAGTTTGAGGCCAAGCTCAGCCACATAGAAAAGGGCTGGGGATGCAGCTCTTTTTTCCCTCTTTAACATGACCTTTTTGTTTTTTTTTGGTACTAGGGATTGAACCGATGATTCTTTACAAAAAGGTCATGTTAAAGAGGGAAAAAGTACTTAGTTTCATCCATTAAATGTTTATAAAGCTTCTGCTCTATGTAGAGTTCTGTGCTAGATAGCTAGAATATAAAGTGAGGGAGTTGAGATCAAATATGGAAAAACTATAATTATATTTTATTCTTCATTGAACCAGTAGTTGACAGTAAGTGCTTCAAAATGGGTAAAGCTATGTACTTCATTACATGTGTGAAAAGTTACTATTAAGCACACAAAATACACTCAGTCGTGCAAACACTACTTAAATGCTCCCAGAAATGCTTCTATAAAGCATTAGTGCTTTCATAAAACAATAACTTTTTAGGTTAGTTCAAAAATTGTAAATTTATAAGAACACACTACAGACATTTAAAAATGATTAAATTGATTCCTCTGTTCTTATATTGTTTAATGTAGGAACAAAAACTGCCAAATGGATTTTGGTGTTAGTGTTTGCCTTTAGGTTTGCCATTCTTTAATTTTATATATATATATATATATATATATATATATGAAAACTATTATGGCTCCAAGCACTCCAGAAAACTAAATAACTTAATGGCTGTTTTTATTAATAGAACATGAACTTTTTAATATCATATAATGTTTCCGCCACAAGACATTGTCCTAGTCTCTGTCTTTCACTGTGTGTGTGTATGTGTGTGTGTGTGTGTGTGTGTGTGTGTGGTTTCATAAATATGTTGGGGTCTAATTCAATATCTGATGATATGTATGTAGCTCATTAAATAATCCTACTTTCTACACTGCAGGGAACTTAAGAAGTAGAACAGTGAGGTGATATGATGGAATATAATTACAGGTGGTTGGAATTATCTAAAGTTCATATTGAGTAGGGAAGATATTCTATGGAGCAACTCAATGCATATACAAGAGGAACACTTAGGCCATTTCTTGAGAAATCAGTATTATATTGTAAAATACTGCCCAATCTTCTGAGGGCAGTGGTGTGGCGAATGGGCTGTAGGGGACAAAATACAGCAGGGAAATAACTTTCTACATGAAGAGTATTAGTTTATCAACAATAAAACTCTAAGAAGGCTGGATATATTACTTTTTCATTCTTTCTCTTACTCCTTATCTCAGTCTCAAATAGTGCTTTTCTTAGCAACTAATAATAATTTGATTTAGAATGTTCAGTAACTAAGAAGTTAGGAGAACTCTACTTAAAGATTGTTGGTTACAGTTTGGTGTATGATTACACTAATTGTTTAACATCTAGTTTTCAAGTTCTAGCATACTTTCCTTGAGCTTCAAATGCATTTTAGCATATTCATTTTATAATGTAAGAAGTAAAGATGTCTACAAACATAGGTACTTAATAAATCTTATATACTTTCAAATAGAAAGCTCTAGAAAGAAAATAAGCACATAACAAAGAAAGTAAATTTCAATATTTTTAATGAGGTAAATTATATATGAATAACTGTGGGTCATGTATAAGGGTCTTTTGTATGCAAAGGACAATCTAAATTGACTCATATCACTTTTGTTAAAAATTAGATTTAAAATTAAAAATAATAAGTATATGGACATCTTGCTTCATGAGCAAATCACATCACAATTTCTGTAATACAATATGTCTTTCTTTCTTTTGTTTTGGCTGTACTGGGGATCAAACCCAGGGCCTGACTCATGGCTAAGGACAAATTATTCCACTGAGCTATATCCACAGCCCTAATATTTCTTGAATGTTGCTATCAATTAGAAATTGCAGTGAGTTAATAGGTAAAAAATATATTAGTTTTTACTCACACATGTAAAAGAAGCTACCAGGATAGCAAACAAAAATGTTACCAATCATGTAAAATGTACTAAATTACCAAATGCAGATGTGCATTTTGATCATTTAGGATAAAATAATCTCAACATAAAGCAGAAATGTGTAATTTTTGAGAGCAGTGCAAGTACAAACCAGATTTGTTCAGAAGATAAAAGGCAGCTATTTTGGAGTTGATTAAGTGTAAACATATTATTTAATATAATGCTTAAATACTTAAATTGTTTAATAAAACTTTAAATGCTACAAACTATTTTAAAGTTTAGGAACTGTAGATTATAAAATTAGTATTTTTCTTATGTGGTTCTTTTGCCCCAAATATTTAAGAATAGCAGTCTTACATTTGTTTTTTATAAAAAAAATCAAAGTTAACATTTTTTCTAATTTAAGTCATGTTGGATTTCTTTGAATAGCAAATTAGGTCAAGTAGAGTTAGGCAGTATATTGAGGTCTTATATGAAAAGTACATTTTCTATGTATCAGAATTGATAAGGTTTATTTGAAATGAATGTAATTCAGGATATTGATCCTCTTTAGGTGGACCTCAGAGCCTCTTAGCAACATTTGTCATTCTCTGTAAAGCAGAAACACACAGAAGCCATCCATCCTTATGGTAAAATGAGTCAACTGAAGAAAAACTTCTGTTCTACGACATCATTAAGGATGGAATATAGCCTGCAGAAAGGAAGAAAAAATGAATAGAAAAAATGTTATATCAACATGTCCTTATTGAAATATTTTCCCTTTACAATTGTGATAGTAATAAAAACTGCAGGTCCTTGAGCACATGTATATTTTCCCTTGGTTTTGTAAAATGCCACTTATCTATCTTTCTTCTGGCATTTTATATTAGTGACTTCTAGAATATTGATTACTAAAATGAAACTTTATCAATGGAATTTTAATAGCATATATTTTTATAAGATTCAGGTCATCCTGTTTGCATCAGGAATCAATTTTGCACCACTTAACTTATCCCTTATTATTAAAACTTGAGGATAAAGGGTCATAGTGGGACTGACAACAATAAAGGAAAAAATTAATGTATTTAATGTAAAATTAATGTAAAATGTTACTGGTAAGGATATATTAATTCAAAATTGCAGTGATTTTTCTTGGAAGAAGCCTCTTAATTTTTCACATCCAGAATGGTCAGCTTACACTTGAAAACCAAGTTCACACAATTTACAAGACTTGTTACTCTTCACACTTAGTGATCTATAAGCACAATCAAAAGCTGTTTGGTTTCTTCCCTCTCCTAAACATACCCACTCTTCACACTATGAGCATGTACAGGCTGGGGGTGCTATAGACTCATGGAAAACCATAGGGCTTTATGAATTTATAGTATTATCACAACATGCAAATAGCCACTTGGGATATTACTAGTTCGTATTTGGTATAAGGATTAGATCCACGTTGCACATTTATGAAGAGATTTCTGTAGTTTTAACTTACCTGCAAAATATGAAAAAAATACTCTTCATTACTGTTACTGAAAGAATAATATATTTTAGAATATGATCAAAGTATACTAAAAGCATAAATACGGGGCTACTAACTCAAAACTATTTTATTTTCAGAAAGGAAAAAGACTTAGCAGGAATTAAGGGAGATCCTTAAATATCCCTTTAGCAAGCAAACAAGGATCTGCTTTGCCTGCCTTTGCGTTTTTAATGTAGGATAATAAGGACCTTAAAGCGTTTCTATTGACTCCTTAAAAATCCCTACTTCAAATTCACCCTTACATTCTACCACTCTCCTAGGAAAGAGGAAAAGAAAATTTCCACTGACCCAGCTCGTGATTTACATACAGAGAACAAATAAATGAATGGAGTGGGGGATGGGGCCGTGACAAGCAATGTGTTTCCTTTTCAACTGCAGAAAATAAGATTACTTACCAAGAACATTTCTATCCAGGGCAAATGTTTATTCCCTCTATCATCCGGCGACTCAGTCTCTGCAAGAAATCAATTTCCACTCTACCTTTCCCTCCTATTCTAAAAAAAAAAAAAGAGAGAGAGAGAGAGAATAATTCTTAAGCTTCGGTCGGAGGAAGACCCAGCTAGAGCAGAGGGCAGAAGACTCCCACAGCGCTCTTTATACAGATCCCAGCTCCGAGAGCGAACCCGTGGAGTGGGGGAGGACCCTCTCTAGGGAGAGTACTCTGCGTGGGGAGGGGGATTCATTCCACCCCAAAATATAAATCATCTACAAACAGAATTACCAGCCTCTCGGTCACACAGGCAATTCCCTAGGCGAAGTGGGTTTCCAAGAGGAGAAAAGACCAGGAGAGGGCGGGGGGGGGGTTATGCTTAGGAGAGGTAGTGGGACCAGGAGAGGAAAAGGGAGAAAGAATAAAGCTAATCTTACCCGATCGATCAGGTGATTGTTTATGCAGTATCGGGACATGAAAATGGCAAGATAATTCATTCGACAGCAAAGCCATTTCTAGCACACTACCCCTCGGTAACTGTGCAGGAAATCAGAGGGGAGGCGGACGCCTCTCAGGCTGCCACTTGCTCCCCCAGGGATGGCCCTCGAACGGTCAAAGCTCCAGCTGCTTAAAGCAAAGCCTTTGGAGCTGAGACTTCTGATGCAAGTCACTTGCCTGGAGTCCCAGGCAGGAGGATTCGCCACGGAAGTGGGACCCGGGAGGGCTGCCGCCGCCGCCGCTGCCTCATCTAACCAGGATTCCCAGTCCCCTTGCCTGAGCCTCTAAAGAGCAGCGCCCCGGAGAGCGCCCAGAGACTCGGCTTCATCCCCATCTTCAGCCCTTGGATACCCGCCCCCACATCCCCCACCCGGCCAATGCAAATCGCTGATGATTTGGTTATCACAGTGTGACTGATCCGTAGTGTTTTATTTGGGGTGCTGGTTGTGTCGGGCAGCCTCACTACGCCTCCCTCAGTTGCGGCAAGTGAAAGAGTTCAAGGGAAATCCTTGCGAAATGTACTGATGGAATACTATTAATCCTGATAATAATGCTCCCAGCGCAGGTAACTCTTAAAGAACTGAGAGTGGGAAGATCAGAACAGGATTTCGGAAGCAGTGCCCTCTTGAATTCTCATTGGATCCTCCCCAGCAGCCTAAATCATTCTTGCTGCTATATCTATCAGGATGACTACAGCCTTGCTCACTAGTTCTCTCTTTATCTCCTTGACTTCAACACATCTTTTTACTTCTCTTTGCAGATTTATCTGTGTTCCACCTCCTGTTCTCTAAGGTTACACAGCTTCTGTTTTTCTCCACTGTATGGGGATGTGCCGTCTATAAATTTTCACTTTGCCTAAGTGTGAGCACCCCCTCACTTCTCCCTTACACACACACACACACACACACACACACACACACACACACAAACACACACAAAGCTCCTCTTTCACATCTTGCTTCCTTTCCTTGGGGGTTTGTGGCTCTCTTTGTAACTGGTTTTCACTTGGTTACATGCCACCAGAAACTGCTGATTATTTCAAAGTCCTACCATCCAGCAGCTCACTAATTTACCTTGATTTGGAAGACCATGGAGTATCTGCTTGAATCTTGGAAGTATTTTTCTTACAGTCATCTTGCTTCCTGAAATTTCCTCTGGTAAGTTATTCTCTTTATATGATATTAGTAAGTTATTATTAGTGTTATTTTAATTAAGGCTCTTTAAGGTGTTCTTTCTCCTTTTCTTAATTTTTTTTTCTTTTGTGCTAATTTTAAGAACTATTTTAAGATCTATCTGACCATATGCATTAGTTAGTATGCTGATTGCAGTTAACTGCTAAGATGTAATCCATGTAAAGAGCTACCCTAATATGTCTTACATTCTTTCTTTCTTTTTTTGGCTTCTGTTATCATTTGCATTACATGTTACATGGATATTTATCCCTCCCCCATTAACCCTTCTGGACGCACATTCTTGTGCCATTTGATAGGTTGGAATTTTATGTTTATCTAAGAGAGATCTGAGTATTACAGGGTTTGGGATAGTTCACTACTCCCTGTGATCTTCAGAAGGTTGTTTAGGTCAGTGAGTGTTCATCTCATACTAAGCAATTGCATGTCTGAGGGAGGACTTTTTATAAAGTGTGTATTTATGAATTTAGCAGAACCGTAAGAACTAACATGCCACTATGTGGTCAGAGGAGGAGTGGGAGTTTCGAGGGCACCATTTTTTTTCTTACAACATCCAAATCACATATGAACACATTATTTGGGGCATTGTATTTCAATTCAGGCATAGTATTTGGCCGTGCATTTCTGATTTTGTGAATTAGCTGGTGAACAGTTAATTGAACAGGGAGTGCTCACATCACAGGAAGAGAGAAATCTGAAGAAAGCATTATTTATTTTGGTTCTAAAACATTAAAATTCAGGGACTGATCTTACATGAAAAATTTAATTGCCTCACTCTTCACACTTGCCCACCTCCACCCTCAATTTTTAATAAGTATGTAATATGGTCATTGCTTTACCCACTGAATAGTTCTAGGAGCTTAACTGACAAGAGCATCACCCCCCCCCCCCCGCCCCAGTATAGTTCTGTTCAGAAACATTAAAATGTTTGCTTTTACTTCATATATTGGTAAGCTCATCCAATGCCAAACCTGCATGTGTCAGTAGTCTCTAACACATTCTAAGGGTTTCCTCTGTGAACCCTGTCACCTGTCACCCTCATCCCCATGAGGACAAGTTTCTGGTTTCTGCAACATTGGGATGGATAGAGGTGAGAACCTATTGTTCAAGCTTTTCCTTCTCCCCCCCGCCCCCCCTGCTTTTTTCCCTAATTTCTGTGACAGAACTATCCTGTCGTCATTGATGGCTGACGCGACAGCCTAAGCATTTTTTTTTTTCTAAATTTCAAAAGCCCTTTTGGCTTTCAGACATAAAAGTACTCCAACTGCAGCGTCACCCCATCCCCAGTCTCACATTCAAGGGCTTTTCCCCCTTGGTTCCTACCGAGAGACTCCTATTGATGCTGGTTCACACCACTTGGCGCCCCTCACCCTTCACTAGTTTCTACCTGGTCTCTTTGCCAGTCCGGTCGTCCTGCCTGACAAGCCAGTGCCATCAGCGTCCGTGACTTCATTTGAAGAAACGAGGGCTTAGTGTAATTCGCCAATTCAAACATCCTCTTTGGAGGACTGCTGCTGTTGCGCAGGGGTGGGGGGAAAAAAAAGCAACTTTCAGTGCAGTCGGATCTTTTCTTCTTAATCTAGCCTACTCCAGTAAGGCACAGACATTCGGTGTTTAGGTAAGTGCGTTTTGCTGTGTTCTAATCTGAGGATCGCGCTGGTGAAAGGGAAATTTACATCTGAGAGCCTCCGCAGCCAAGAACGTTTTAACCAGAGGGCTATCAACAGGCGACTCTGCCTGGGGATTTGTCCGCAGCTCCTGGCGACACCTGAGCCACCTGGGCAGAGGGAGCGTGGAGGGCAAAGTATCTGGTTGACTGGCTGGCCCTAGGCTTGGTGCTGGGGTGGGAATGACCCGCGCGGGGAGGAGCCGTGTCCCTGGCGCTGACCAGCTACCGCAGGCTCCGCACTCAGCCCCTGCGGCGAACGTCGGCTGGGTTCTGGGCATTTGCAGCCCTGGAGAGTGGGGCTGACAGGGGTTTTCATGCTTCCAGAGTGGAACCTACCTCTGGCCACAACCTTTTTTTTTTTTTTTTTTTTTTACGGAGAGGACAGACTTGGTGATTCCTGGAATCTCTCAATACCTTTCTGCGTTAATATTTATTTATTATTTTTAATGAGCTGTGTCTAAGAAATGACGCTTTGTAGTATGTATGTTTTACAAAACCTTAATCGTTGTCTTCATCCAACTTCATCCGATCGCTTAGTAGGACTTAAAATTGCTGAAGACTTCCCAGGATTAGTGTTGAATTGCTGACGATCGGCACTCCTCGCCTTCCTCCATCAACTCCCAAGAATCTGGAGGGTGGCCGGGTGAGGGAAAGAGTTAGATTTCAACTTGGAGCTGGGGCTTGGAAAATCAGGTTGAAGTTAAAAGCAAAAAAAAAGTGAGGGTTTGGGAGCTGCCTAGTGTATATTATATGCACTTTAAAGTTGGTCTTTTACCGCCTCCTCGCCTTTCTGGAGGGGGTGCGAGAGGTGGGAGGACCTGGGTCTGGCGTCCACTGGAGAGGGGGTGGTGCTTCTTGGCCGAGGGTTTCTGCCGGTTCTGTAGCCAAACGGTGGTAGAGTTGAAGTCTCCGATGGCTGTTCTCCTAGTCCCTAAGAGTTGAACCAGAGAGCCTTTTACTTTGCTCCAGGTCCAGACCGTGATCAGTCCTTTAAAGCAGGTACCTCTTTCTAATGGGAGTCTGGCAGGGAAACGCAGGGTAGGCTCTACTTCCGAAGATAAAATGCATGGTTCCAGCTGTGTGAGACACCAACCGGCTGTTTGAAAAGAGGAAGAGGTGACCAGGGTTACAAATTAACCCTAGGATTGCTTACAAATATCCTAGCGAGTCAAACGTATATAAGCAAGGAAGAAAGCATCAGGATATAAAACTGTCACAGCAGCGTGGAAGACTGATGATTCAGATTCTGGGGACTTTTCCTTTTACGTGCTATTTAGATTTGTTTGCCATCATGCAGTTAAGCAGGTAAGGAATAAATGTCTCTGTATTTTATCAACAACCATAGAACCTGTGTTTGACCCATCCTGTGATGATTTTTCCCTGTTTCATGTGATGGACTATATATTTATTTCCAGATGGTTCTGCTGTGATGTATAACTTCTTAATATTAACATTCATAAATCCCTTTAAAATCATTTAAACGCTTACCATGGACTCATTTAAGTTTTAACATGCACTTATTTAAATGTTTATCAGTGTTACAAAAATCATAAGCTAGACCGAGATGAGAGGAAGAGATAGGAAAAGTAGAGTTAGTGGAAGAGATGTATAAACCCTAATGAAATATGGAAGATGTAAGTTCAAGAAACGCCTTAAAACGTTGCTTCTTACTAAGGTCACAGGCCTTAATATATAAAGGACAATTGGATAACTACTAAGGGCATCTTGAACTGGAAAAATAATTTTGACTACCTTAGAGAAATGTTTTATGACTATTTTTGTGTTACCTTCTCCATCTTGAAAAAAAAAATTCATGGGGTTAGGGGTGGGTTTGATTGTCAAACAGTATGAGAAAAGAAGAGCTCCCCCAAGGGCAGTGTTCTATATGACCCCAATATAGACATCTGTTTTAGAAGAGTTGGAAAATTGAAAAAAATTAAATCAAATTAGAAAACTATGTGAACTCTTCCCCAAATAAACCTTTTTAAACTCAAAGTTTTGTATATTTGTCAATTGAACAGCCTGTAAGTTTCTTCTAGTATCCAGAATTAAAAGAATGTTTTTTTTTAACGTTTAATAAGTTTTGTTAATGCTATTGATATTGTTTTGTTATGTTTGGCTTACATGTTAAGGGAATCTGGAGTTTCCACAAAGTGAAGCAAAAATATATTGCCAAGACACAATCCTAAAACTGTTCAATTTGGTAATAATACTTTCTATTTTCAAAAAAAATCTGTTTTTTAAAATTTTTCCTGAAAACATTTTTAGTGCTTACATTTGTTAATCAATAATTATTGATCTCTGATCAATATTTTTTCTGCTTGTTAAAGCTCATTGATAAAATTTTGAGCAATAAGAAAGGTAATATTAACTTTAGGTTGCAGAATTGCAAAGTTATAGTGCTCTTTTTAGCTTGATGCAAAAAGTAGTTTTTACTTTAATGGAGAAAATAATTCATCAAT